TATTATATATATACATTCCTGAATTCATAGGAGGCCCGCTTACTGGACCGTCGAGTGCTGCCACCTACCACCGTTCCGCCCGAGAATTACCAGGGAATGGAAAATGTCGGCAACACGTGCTACCTCGACTCTGTGCTAATGGCGATGTTCGGTACCCTAACCACTTTCGATTCCTTGCTGGTGTGTGCAACGTATCTTCGTAGGATTGTGTGTGTGGGTATGTGTGTCTTTGTAGGTGCGTGTGTGGGTATGTGTGTATGTATTGTATCTTCGTAGGTGTATATAAGGGCATGTGTGTATGTATTGTATCTTTGTGGATGTGCGTGTGGGAATATATATATATATATATATATATATGTGCTTACAGAGTACATGATGGTCAGAAAAGTGTATTGAGTCGGCAACGCGAGCTCAGGTGAAGTCCTGTACCCTAACCACCTCCGACTCCCTGCTGGTGTGTACTGTACGATAGTCGATCACCTCGAAATTCGATTCCCAGGCGTTCATATTCATCTAGTTTGTTTTTTCATGGAGTTCAACACCGCAAAGTCGAATATCAAAATGTTCAGGTCATAGTGTACGATTGTTTGAGTACGGTGTTTAGTTGAGGTGGCCGCCTTTCACCGTCGCCGCTTTTGTGTTTTGTCCCATCTTTAAAAGAAACCCAAGCCATAGCTCTAAACCCTATACTCATGAACTATACTCATGAACTATACTCATGAAATGAAACGAAACCTAAGTCATAGCTCTAAACCCCATACTCATGAAATTCATAGACCAGAGATATGGAAGACCCACGCATTCGTGGTCTTCAACACGAGCTTCTGACTGTCGTCAACAGGTAAGCACACACGGTTCATCTTAGTCGTAATTGTTAGGGCGCACTAGTTATAAATAGCACGGCATTGTTGTGATGAAGGATGCCAGGTTCTTGATTTTGTTGGCTATTTTATGAGAACGCGAGCCGCAAACCTTTGCCATAGATGTATCTATTCACGAATTTGATTGTTTATTGGTTTGCCCGTTTCACGTTTACTATTTCGCGCTATTGTATGTATAACGGTGTTGTTTGTATTCGTGTACAGTCGTGTTTAGTATACTTTTATTCGTGGGGGCTCTTGTTTTGTTGTGTGTGGGTGGAGAGTCGCTCGAGGCTCTTATCTATGCGCCTTGATACCCGCGCACACACTCAACTAAAAATAAAATAGACTTGTGTCAGGAAAACGATATCGACCATGATATAGTGGGGCCAAAGATTCCTGTGTTTGTTGCGTTGTGGTACATGACCATGGTGGAGGTACTTTGACCTACGGTAACCCACCTATGGGGATTACGGCGTATGGCATCCGTCAGCGGGAGTTTGGTATATGTCACATGCTTTGAAGAACCCTGCCACACAGAGTTCAACACGCACAATTCACAGAATTTAGTACACAGCGTTTAATATACAATGTGTGATACACAGAGTTTGATGCAGAGTTTGATATAGAAAGTTCAATACACAGAGTTTGATGTACCAGAGTTTAATACACATAGTTTGATGCACAGGGTGCATACACAGAGTTCAATACACGTGTTCAAACATAAAGTTTAATACACAGAGCTTAATATACCAGAGTTCAATACACAGAGTTTGATACACAGGGTGCATACACAGAGTTCAATACACACGTGTTCAAACATGTAGTTTAATACACAGAGTTTAATACATAGAGTTTAATACACAGTGATTAATACACAGAGTTTCATACACGGTGGTTACTGCACAGAGTTTAATACAGAGTGCAATATACAGAGTTTAATACACTGCGTTTTACACACAGAGTTTATTGTACATTGTTCAACACACAGAGGTTGCTGCACAGAGTTTGATACACAGAGTTTGATACACAGTGATTAGTGCGCAGAGTTTCATACACGGTGGTTAATGCACAGAGTCCAATACATAGTGCAATATACAAATATATCAACTGGAGATATAGTTGCAGCATATATCGCCCGCAGGTAGATAGTATCGCCAGACCAAGCAAGGCAAATTTGGTATTGTGCCGGCGGAAGCATGACGAAACTGACAGAGATTAGTTAGAGCAGGGTCAACTACGCGTCTCATTCAGAAGGGTGCATACGTTAATTTGTGTTTTACCTACCTTCATCGTATCGCTCCACTTGTTATTGTAGTTGTGTATTTAGATATCTTAGATTAGAGCAAGGTCAATTACACTTCTCATTCACAAGAGTGCATATGAATTTTTTTGTTTTACCTACCTTCATCGTATCGCTCCGCTTGTTTCCGTAGTTGTGTATTTAGATATCTGACAAACGTTTTCCATAGGATCTCGAGTGATGTTCAATCCTTGCAAACTTTGATACTTAGCGATAAGTTATATCGATGGTTAGCATTCGGTTTCCCACAGTGACACTTTTGACCTTTACATCAGACTGCGAAATGGAAGACTTGTAACGAAGGAGCAGATGAAGCGACTTCTGGATGTACTGCACACACTCAACTGGCCTACAGGTATACAAGAGAAAGTGTGTATAGGTCACTTTTTGTGTTTATTTTCCTATCCAAGTAGTGAAGATTCATTTCTCAAGTGAATCTATATGTTATTCTATGGTGGTAAAGATGTGTACGTTTGCAGTTGTGGTCTGTCTTTGAGTATTTACATTACAAGTACGTGCGATAAAGTATATAATAATTATCTATTCGTAGTCATATTGCGACCAATAGGTATAGGTATGGAAGTTTGCGTACCAATTTAGATATATTTGAATTGGTTCTATCTAGAAAATACATAGTTAGTCATATGGCGCAGCATGTAGGAGTGTTGGGGTGTGTGCAGATCGCTGCCTTTACGTATCCATAAATGTAAGTTTGTGAAGATTGCTCTATCAAGAGAATCTATGGATAATGACATGGCCGCCATCAAGTACGAGTATATAAGCTTATGTAGAATCCTGTTCTTGATTACTGGATATATTAGCAGATAAAGACTAACTCTATCAAGCGAAGCTTTAAGTAAACATATAGTTGTTGTATGGTTACGGATAGATACGCACAGGCACATAGCAGTTGTATAAGTGAGTAAAGTTTCACTCAATCAGAAGAACATATTGAACAGGATATATATATATATATATACGGTAGCGATTGTTATTTGGTCAACCAAGCACGCATACGCATGGCAGTAGTATTCTATGTAGTCTATTGCGAGGTGTTTCATCTCCAGTGATGAACGGGTGTTGTGAGTGGTCAGCATTGCACTATGCGAGTCTAACGCAGATAATAATGGGAGTCCAAGTGACTGAGATAAATATGCATAGTTACTTCGGAACGGCTGTACGATGTTTGAAGTATGCACTTCAATTTCACTACAATCCTCATAGTTCCCATTGGTCTGTACATATATATGTACGCCCAAACAGCTATACATCATCCACGGGTTGCGCTTGTATTTTATTAGATCACATTATAAAGAACCCGCATAGTTTCCATTGATTTGTACGTATATTTATGCCAGAACAATATACACTATCTGGCGGATGTGCTTTTATCGTATTAAATCACGTTGAAATTCGCATAGTTTTTACTAGGCTGTAAATACATGTACGTTGGGAAAACCATACAATATCTGCGGTTTGCGCATAAATTCTATCAGATCACATTATACTCCTCATAGTTTCCCTTGTTTTGTATGTACATGTACTTCGGAAGAACTGTACACTCTCCGGTGGTTGCGCTTTCTTTCATGGAGTCACAGTGTAATAACCCACATAGTGCCCATTGTTACTGTCATACACAGCCGATGGCGAACGCAACAGCTACGGTCAGCAGGATGCGAGTGAGTTGTTGATCACGCTGTTGGATCGGTTGGGCGGTCCTCTGCTGCCCATGGAGTACCGTATGGTGCATGGGGCGATGGACTCGAGTGGCGATGAAACACTGGTCAAGGAGAGCATTTTGCAGGTCAGCGTAGCCTCAGTAGGTAAAGTCAACATACGTGTGTGCGTGTGGGTCAGATTTTGCAGCTTAGCGTAGTCTCGGAAGGTATAGTCCACATACTTGTGTGCGTGTGAGTCAGAGGCTGGTAATAGAGTATCATTTGCAAGTCCATGTGGTCTTAGTAGTATATCATGCATGGGTGCGTGTGAGTCAGAGGCTGGTAATAGAGTATCGTTTGCAAGTCCATGTGGTCTTAGTAGTATATCATGCATGGGTGCGTGCGCGGCAGTGGCGATGAAAGAGACAGCGCACCGTTGACTCAGAAGATATATATTCTGTGAGCGCGCGCGTGTGTGTGTGGTGAATAAAAGCGTCCTGCAAGTCAGTGTGGTCGCAGTAGATATATTTTGTGTGCATACGTACGTGTCATTGGCGATGGTGGGTTATAGATATAACGTATTTTATAGGTCAGCGTATCTTCGTGGGTATAAAATCGCATGTGTGCGTACGTGACTGTGACGATGAAAGGTCAGCGGACGAACGTATCGTATAAGCCAGCACTTTCTCAGAAAGTATGTTATACTAGTGTGCATTATGTCAGTGGGCGGTGAAAGAAAGGCATATCAGTGTGGGTTCAGTGGCTATATTGCGTATATATGAGTATATATACATATATATATACTGATATGTACTATTATGCACTATATATGTACTATCACGTATGTATGCGGTGAACTGCATAGTGGGCGTTGAGCAATTCGGCTCATAGAGTATTCCTGATGTGTTCGGCTGACAACCACTTGACACTGACTATTATATCTATCAATTTCAAATATTCAGGCAAATGTGTGCACCAGTGTTTTATTAGACATACCACAAAATCCGATTGGATCGATTCATATCCAGTGTACAAGAGAGCAACAAAATAACAGCCCAAATAGGAGTTCAAGTGTATATCAATTGTTGTGGAGCTATGTGACGCGATTTGAGTTGGCTGTATTCGATGCAGATGGTGACAACAGCTGTGACCGGCCCACTAAACTGGTGGATGTGTTGGAAAACCACTATTTTGGCGAGGACGTGGTCGATATCGAGCGTGAAGTGGAGTGCGACAAGATGGGTGATCCGGTGAGTTATACGTGTGTGAATACACATTCATACGTTAGTGTATGGTGTGCGTGTATGTGTGTGTTGGTCATACAGAATCATGCAGTGGAGATTGCAAATATATGTAGAAGTATGTGTCCATGTATTTTCATATACATATATATATATACGTAAATATATTATATGTGTATGCATTTTCATATACTTATATATACGTAATATATGTACTTAATATATATATGTAAATATCTATACTTATATATATATATATACACACGTAAATTTATACGTAAATATATATACATCTATGTCAACGCGATATCACCGCCGAATGCAATATGGGGGGCCAAATTGGATCCATTTTGGGCGCATACGGGTTGTCCTTTGTCTGCAGCTACTTGTTTGTATGCATATATGTCCATGTGTGGTTTATGTATGTTGAGGTTTACATATATACCTTGGCACAATGGCCCACGGAAAGTCGCCGCAATAGTAGCATACCGTAAAAGTCTTCACTGATCTTTCATAAACTTAAAGTCCTGGTTCGTCCATTCCTTATCGTCATCCTCTCACGATACTCACCTTTCCCCCATCCCTCATGCTATTTATTTATTCCCTCACTCATTATCCTCATGACTTGTTCTCACATTTCTTCTATTTGGATACTTATCAGAAGCGTCTCATTTCTTCCTGACACTTCGCATGATCCTCTCACATTTCACACATTCCTCGTCACATTCCTCGGGATCCTTTACTTTCTCCCTTACACGCCTCGTTTTCTCTTCTACATTGGACATTCCTCACATTCCTCAAAATCCACACTTTTTTCTTATAGTACCTGCATTTCTTGAAGTCCCGTGATTCTCTTATCATTTATTGCCCATGCTTCGCTTACACCTTTTGTGATCGCCTTCAGTTTCATAGTTTCCACATTCCCTAAACGTCCCTTATTCTTCTCATATATCGCTTGTACTCTGCTTACACCTCACAGGATCCTCCTAATGTTTTTACATGCTTTAAACCTCCCCATACCTCTTACTGGCAACTCCTGGTTCCTACGTTCCCTACAAGTCCCTTGTTCCTCTCATACATCTCTTGTACTCTGTTTACACCTCACATCTCTCCTTCTTAATTCTCTTACTTGCTTTAAATTCCCCCATACCTCTTACTGGCAACTCCTGGTTCCTACGTTCCCTACAAGTCCATTGTTCCTCTCATACATCTTTCGTACTCTTTCTTACACCTCGCATCTCTCCTTCTTAATGTTTTTACATGCTTTAAACTCCCCCATACCTCTTACTGACAACTCCTTGTGATCACATCTCTCCTCGGCCTATCCCCATCCTCACAATGCTTTCACCCGTCACATACGTTTTTGTCTTAATTTAAGGTTTATCGCATGAACCCTCGTTGGTACGTTTATTTTTTCAGGTCTATCAATTCCCTCACTCGGCTTTCCATAGTTCATATTCCTCACACTCTCTGGCCACAGTTCACATCATGCTCCGTGTGTTTCTCATCTCATCTCTTTCGTATGCCATGTGGTTTATTGTTATTCCGCGCAGATTAAGCGAACGAAGGTAAAGGCTCTGAGGACGCTACACTCGCTGCCATTCTACGACAGCCAAAGCGTACAATGCAATAGCCAGCATCCACAATCCACCCAGAATATCATTATACCCATCTGCTTCAAGCGTTACAGGTAGGCCGCACGAGAGATGTATCACTGTACACTCGTTTGAATATGGCGTTGTTATATCTGTGAATGTGCATATAGAAGGATGCATATTGACTGATGTGTATCTGTACATGGCGTTGTTATATCTGTGAATGTGTATATAGTAGGACGCATATCGACTGATGTGTACCTGTACATGGCGTTGTTATATCTGTGAATGTGTATATAGTAGGACGCATATCGACTGATGTGTACCTGTACATGTACATTCGCTGTCATTCCACGACAGCAAACGTATTGAGGGGAAATACGGGAACGACACAATCTGTACGAAGTGTTATCATTGCAACCTACTGCAAGTGTTACAAGTAGGCCAAGAGCGAAGTATAGTATCCTCCGTTGGTATGCACACGCATATCTAAGTATGTTGAAATTCTACATGGAGGTATTATATTTATGTGTGTATGTTGATATTCTAAATGGAGGTATTATATATGTGTGTATGTTGATATTATAAATGGAGGTATTATATATACGTGTGTATGTTGATATTTCAAATGGAGGTATTACATATATGTGTGTATGTTGATATTTTAAATGGAGGTATTATATATACGTGTGTATGTTGATATTCTAAATGGAGGTATTATATATATGTGTGTATGTTGATATTCTAAATGGCGGTATTATATATACGTTTGTATGTTGATATTCTAGATGGAGGTATTATATATATGTGTGTATGTTGATATTTTAAATGGAGGTATTATATATACGTGTGTATGTTGATATTCTAAATGGAGGTATTATATATACGTGTGTATGTTGATATTCTAAATGGAGGTATTATATATATGTGTGGGCATGAGGTGTCCTATTTTTGTCGCGAAAGCGTTTACAATTTTACTCATTAATTAACAACAAAATGTAACTGCTGCGTAGTCTGCTACTATTCCAACTTGCTTCAATCGTTACTAATATGTCAAAAAGATTTAAAAAGCCTTAGACGGTTTGCATTCATGTATGTATAGTACTATTGTGAATAGATTTCTATATATTTCTAGGATGGATCTTTATATCGTACTATAGTAAAGTTGTGTAGAGATCTTTATTTCAATGTAAGGGTTTATAATACTATTATATTTAGATCGGTATATCGATGGAAGAATTCATAGTACTAATGTGCGTAGATCTTTATATCGATGTAACAGTACGCATACATGCACACGCGCTGCAAGTATACTGTCGCCGCTGTGTACAGGTGGTTGGTTACTCAACAGTCACAACACATACAATGTTTTCATGGTCTAATTGCAATCAACACACACTCCATGCTGTTGTACTGATGTTCGCATATTGCTGTTCACAGTAATGCTGGAGGCATTCCGCGTCGACTGGATAGGCGGGTAGAAATACCTACTTCCTTGGACTTCAGCCAGTTTGTCAGGTGGGTTCAGATAGGTATTCAACATTCAAAAACCTCGTTTAGGTACGGATACAAGCCCCCCAAGACCCTGGTAGTTTTACACCTCACGTTGAGATCTGATTAATGTCTAGGTAAAAGATAGTGTGATCCAGTTGTGGTGCGAGATATGAAGTTGAGTGCAACAGGTATGTCTGCTGTGCCATAGGCGAAACATAGCTGTGGGTGTGTCTGTTATACCATTAAACTGAAACGTAGCTGTGGGTGTGTCTGTTATACTATTAAACTGAAACGTAGCTGTGGGCGTGTCTGTTATACCATTAAACTGAAACGTAGTTGTGGGTGCATCTGTTATACCATTAAACTGAAACGTAGCGGTGGGCGTGTCTATTATACCATTCAACTGAAACGCAGCTGTGGGTGTGTCTGTTATATCATTAAACTAAAACGTAGCTGTGAGTGTGCCTGTTATATGATTAAACTGAAACGTAGCTGTGCGTGTTTTATACCATTAGACGAAAGCGTAGCTGTGGGTGTCTATTGTACCAATAAGACTAAAACGTAGCAGTGGGTGTGCGTGGTGTATCATACGACTAATATGTAGCTGTGGGTGTGTCTGTTGTACCATTGTGACTAAAACGTAGCAGTGAATGTGCGTGTTGTATCATAAGACTAATATGTAGCCGTGGGTGTGTCTGTTGTACCATTAAGACTAAAACGTAGCAGTGGGTGTGCGTGTTGTATCATAAGACTAATATGTAGCCGTGGGTGTGTCTGTTGTTCGGCACATGTACTGTTTCACACATCCATATGTAGTTGTGCTGCATCTCAGCCACACCAGACGTGCCGCATATTCATAGTTTAACGCATCTCGCTACATTCGTTCCCAAACCCTAAACGCCCCCCTAAAACCTTACACCCCCAAATCCTTAACGGGTACGCACTGTCCTCTGCAGTGCCGAATCAATGCCACCCCAGACGTACACTCTGGAGCTGATGTCTCTGGTATGTCACCAGGGACAACAAATGAGCAGTGGTCACTATAGGGCCTACATCCGTACACTCGACGACGAATGGTTATTATTCGACGATTTGGCTACCCCAAGGTATCAATATTTTTGTTATATTGAGTTGTATATTGTGTTGTATATTGACGTTCTATATTCATGTGTACTTATTCCTGTATGCGAGACTGGTTCATGGTCTGTACAACTCTAAGATTTATTCTAAAAGAAGTATCAGTGACACACTAGACTAGCAAACTCTTGGATGTGCGCGAATAGCTATTCTTAGACGATTTGGCTACTTCAAGGTATCAATACTTTATGTATCGTTTTATATATTGATTTATATATAGACTACATACACACACACACATACACACACACACACACACACACACACACACACACACAC